CGACCTCGTCATCCTGCCCTCTGTTCCTCCTATAAAACGTATAAGACGTATGAAACAGGAAAATCACGAAGAGTCAGCCACCACTCCTAGAAAGGCCAGAACGTAAATACGACCCTCCTCCCAACAATGAGTAAGTACGACCCCCCCCCTCAAAAAGGAGGGGGAGGGTGGTACGACCTCGTCATCCTGCCCTCTGTTCCTCCTATAAAACGTATGAAACAGGAAAATCACGAAAGTCAACCACCACTCCTAGAAAGGCCAGAAAGTAAATACGACCCCCTCCCAACAATGAGCAAGTACGACCCCCCCCCCTTTTTACAACGTCCGTGAAGCGAGAAAAATCAACTATCAAAATAAATTTTTCTCAGCCAAATACAAATACGACTTCCCCCTCTCCTGGCGGCCAAATACGACCCCCCCCCCCCTTGGGGATTCCCCAACAACTATGTGCCCAGCTCAGAGCGCAGAGGAACGGATTTTTACAGTCTGGTTCGCTGCGGATGATGGGGCGTGTCCGCGCGGCTGCACTGGGCACGGAGCCAAATTCATTCCCTTCCAGTTGTTCAAGCGGATATGTGACAACAACTAAGGAAAACGGCTGATATGAAAGATAAGATAATTCCCTGTCGCCTGCTGAAGGAAAAAAGACGGGTTATTGCAGCGCCGAACGCAGCCGCGGACATGCCCCATCATCCGCGGTGGACTGAACTGCGGCGAATATTCTCAAATGCTCCTTTTACTAAACAAAATTAAATCTGAGTCAGCCACTTGAGGGAATTCAGTTCTTCTGTTGTCATCTCATACCTCTTTGTTATTTGTAGATTTGCCTTATTTGGAATGCGCCACTTCCATTGACGACAGCCATTCAAGGGCCGTCCGTTGTGTGGAGTTCTCTCATTGTGGTCGGTACCTGGCATCTGCAGGCTTCGATTCTTGTGTGGTCATCTATAGCCGAGAGGAGTTCGTGAATTCTGAATTTCTCTTTTGCCCTTTTTATTCAGTCACGATAGCGCGTATGAACCAGGCTTATTATGCCTTACCAAAAAAAGATGATTTTTTGAGCATGGCTTCGCTATCAAATCCATAGTATTGTGGGTTTTCTTGATTTAGAGGCGAGGAGTTCGTGGAATCGAACAAGCTGGAAGGCCACGAAAGCGAGGTAATTTTTTGTGTAGTAATGACTTTTAGAGCGCGTTCATGGTTCGCGATCCGATCGCGCGATTCATGTGACTCGAATCGCCAAGTATGAACACGCTCTTACGCTGGCGTTGTACCCTGCGCCACTGAAAATCGGAACTCAGATACAATCTTTTTTTGCGCATTATCCGATTCTCCAGTGACGCAAGGTAGAAGCGCGGCCTTCTCTCCTTTCCGAAATAGAACCTGTTGCCTCTTTCGCACTGATTTCCTTCGATTTCCGTAGTTGTGGTATCGTTTCTCCCTGATATAACACCCTTTTATAGGTCAAATGCTGTGCGTTCTCACCAACAGACGAATTTCTAGCTACCTGTAGTCGCGACAAAAGTGTATGGTTCTGGCAAAGTAAGTAACTCATTAGTGGTATTTTTGAAAATATTCTCAATTATCGAGGGCGTTGTTTATAGTGGATGAGGATGAAGATTTCCAAGTGTCTTCGGTGTTGCAACCTCATACTCAGGATGTTAAATTTATCGCTTGGCATCCATCAGAAGAAGTACGTTTCGGTTGAATATTTACTCGATGCATGAATGTTCAGTGCAGTATAGAGGCTGGGCCAAAGGCTGTTACGTTACATTGTTATTTCATTTATTTGCTTCTCCCCCCATTTTTTGGAATCGCATGGCTTTTAGAGGTATGCGAAGGTACCAAAATTGTTGTGTTTCCGAGGGATGACTGTTATTGCTTAAACTTAAGTGGAAGGAGGCTTCAGAGAGGGCTCATAAATTCCTGCTGCAGCACGAACTTCCTTTTTAAACTAGGAGTGGCCAATACACTCTGCACGAACAGAGTTGGAGGGAGTTACGCTCAGAGAGTAGGGCTACGACGACTGTCCGCCGGTCCC